AAATCTGGGAAAACAGAAAAACACAGAAGAATCATCACTGACCTGGTTGATGTAAAAAAGAAAAAAAGAACTAAATCTTTAATCAGCAAAGAAAGAAAAGCCAGTAAGAAGCATAATTTCAACCACAGAATTTCCAAAACGTTCAAGAGTTGGAGACACCAGTAAAGATTCCATAGAAGCAGGAGGATTGGTTAAAGATCTAAGGAGCGATTATACACACACATTGTCTCCTTAATTCCACATAGCTGGGCAACTGTCCTCCCACCTAAGACCAGTAGTCGCTCTGGAAGGAGTATAACACATGTTTCTGAACTGGAGAACATTCTGAACAAGGACACAGAGGACTGGGGTACCATACCGAAACTTGGAATAGGTGAAGTTTACCTAATATGGAAGCTTAGGATTCTAGCTTTCTTCTCCCAAAATGGTCAGAATACTATTTATCGGGCTGATATTTGCTCCAGACAAGTAAAGAATCTTGAAAAATTAAACCAGTCAATGAGGACAAGTCTAAAGATGTAGACAACAGGAGTTTCCTCAAAGAAATGGACCAGGGCCAGATCACTCTACAATGAACCTTCATAGCTTTGAGCACTCCCAACAGGCTTTAAATAACTTTAAGTAGAAGTAGACAGCCATAGACAGACAAACTATGAAAGCTCCTAACATGAAAAGCAGAACAAAAATATGAACTTCAGAGAAACCAAAACAAGTAAAAATGAAAACTTTGTTACTAATGTCTTCAGAGAAATAAAAGATATTGAATCTAAGATAATAATTTTATAATTTTAAAGGAACAATCAGAATAAGAAATAAACCAAAAATGTAGTAAGAAATAGCCTGTCGATATTTAAAATGATATCACAAGTTAAAGCTCCAAAGAAGAGTTGAAAGATTGAGAAAAGTCGCCTAGAAAGTAGAACAAATAGAAAATAAAAAAATAGACAAAAAGAAAAGGAATATAAGATGGCCCTCCCTGGTGGCACAGCAGGTTAAAGCACAGCACTAAGAAGCTAAAGCCACTTCAGCATGAGTTCCATCCCCGCCTGCCCCGGAGGTGACCACATGGCAATAAATCTTAAAAAAAAAAAAAAGAAAAAAAAGAAATGTAAGAGCATTAGAGGTGAGTTCATGAGGTCCTATATCATCAAGTACTAACAAAAGAGTAAAAAAGCAATATAGCATTTAAAAGTTCAAGAACATTTTCCAAAATAGCACAACATGGCAGGGCCCAACAAAATCAAAATTGGTGTTCAATGATGCCAATTACCATTAAGTTTCAGAACATCAGAGAAAAACAAAACTCAATTATTTTTTAAAAAGATTTATTTATTTATGCATACAGAGCTGAGGTACAGGCCAGAGGTGTAGGGGTGGTGAGAGGATTCACCAGAGACAGAGTGGGGAGCAAAACAGATGGACTGACTGAGACACACTCTGAGGGAAGCAGCCCACGAGACAGGAGAAGTCTGCCGGGCCATGTGGGTCACCTCGCTAGCCAAGGATCGAACTGATGCTGCAGTGGCTTCGACAGCTTCATAGTGCTGTGCTTTTACCCACTGTGCCACCAGGGAGGGCCCCAATTATGTTTTTAGAAAAAGATCAGTATGAAGTTGGCATCATATTACTAGATGCTAAGGCAATGGAGCAATCCCCCCAAGACTGTGAAAAATTAATTCTAGTCAAATGTGAGAATAAAAAGATATTTCAACTTCAAACAGGCCTTGAAATGTACTACCCACATACTTCTTATCAGGAAATTACTGAAGAATGTGTCCCACCAAAATAAGCCAATAAGCAAAAAAACAACATGTAGGATCAAGGGGGAAAGAATAGTCAAAAGAAAAGGAAAGAAACCTCCCCCAGCCCCAGCACCACCACACTTAGATTGCTGATAAAAGGAAATGAGTGCACATTTGGACTAGTAACTGAGCACTCCAGAATGGATATCACTGCGGATAGGAAACTGAGCTTGAATATAATGACATTTTCCACATATTGTTTTATCGTTTCAGGGTTTGCTGTATGTGTTATCTCCTTAAACTAGAGCTAGGACACTTTTAGATTTTTTTTTACCACTCAGGTTAACTCAGTGCCTTATACATAGTAGATATTCAAATATATTTGAATGAATGGAAGAATGGAATAAATGTGTTTCTGTAGTATAATGCTTGAAGGGGTTTTACAGTGCTATGTATCAGTGGAATAGCCTATCCTAGGAAGCTTCAGTAACTTTATGATGCTGACTGATTCTGAATGAATGACCATACGTCTATTTCAAGACCAAGGACAAAATTGTACTCTATTTTTAGTGGGGAGGGAGAGTTGGTATTGTCTATAGTTAGGCAAGCAGATACTTGTTGTATTATGAGTTTAAATTCCATTTCAACCAACTGTTAGTTATGTTACTGGCTATATAATATAAATAAATGTAAATTGTGACATCAATAGCATGTAATGTGAAGGGAGAAGAGGTAAAAGCAGAGTTTTGTCTGCTAGTGAAGTTAGGTTGTTAACAGCTTAAAATAGACCACTGTGATATATGTTATGTAAGCCCCTGGAAACAACAAGGAAAATACCTTTCAGAAGTGAGAAAAAAATCAAAACCCATCAATACGAAAAAACAAACCAGAAAGGAAAACAGCAAGGGAGAATAGAAGGACAAGATACACAAGATAAACAGAAAACAATTAACAAGGAGGCAATAGTAAATCCTCCCTAATCGATAATTTAAATATAAATAGACTACACTCCCTAATGAAAAGATACAGGGCAACTGAAAGGTTATAAAAACAAGAAAAAGCTCTTGCCATGTGTGACAATATGGATGAATTTTAAGAGCACTATTATGCAAAGTGAGGTGAGTGAAAGACCATACTGCAAGATCACATTTAAATGTGGGATCTAGATAAGCCAGACTTCTAGATACAGAGTTGTCAGAGTTGGAGATGAACAAGATTTTGAAAGTGGTCAACAGGTACAAATTTAGTTATAAAATAAATAAGTTCTGGGAATGTAATGCACAGCATGATGACTGTAGTTAATAATACTGTTTTACATTTTTGAAAGTCCCTTAGAAAATAAGTCTTAAAAAATTCTTATCACAAGAAAAAAAAATGTTTACTGTGAGGTAATAGATGCTAACTAAACTTATTGTGGCAATCATTTTGGAATACAAAAAGATATCAAATCATTATGGTGTACAGCTAAAACTAATACAAAACTGTATGTTAAATATACCTCAATTGAAATGGGGAAAACCCATCACCAAATTTAAGATAAATACTAGAATTTTTATAAATTGACTGCTTTTAATCAAAAGTGTTCAGCTTATTGGAGGAACAGCAGGAATTCAGTAATTGATAAGTATTAATTAAAATCCATCTCATATCTATTCTGTAGAATATGATGTTAGAAAACATTTTCAGTGACTCAAAAAAACCGCAGTCAATTTGAACAAAAAAAATCAAAACTAATGTTTAAATTAAAAAAGGGGGGCTTTACTCAGCGATCAAAAATGATAAACACAATGCCTTTTGCAGCAACATGGATGGAGCTGGAAGGGATCATGCTTAGTGAGATAAGCCAGAAAGAAAAATACCGATGGTTTCAGTCATAGCAGGAGCATAAAGGACGTGTGCGTGGGGGGGAGGGGATAATTATAATGATGATGATGATGATGAATAACTATATACCAGAGACTTTTAAGGGGGTGGAATGGGGAATGGGATCAAAAATGGGAGAGGGGAAAGTGCACTGGACTATGGTGATTTGGTGATGGGAAGTCCACGGAATTAAAACTAAGATAGAAAAAGGCACAAAATGATGTAAAAATAAACTATTATTTTTAAAAAGGGGGGTATGTGTGTGCTTTGTATGTACAATGAAATATATTTATCCTAAAAGAGATTCTGCACATTGCAACAACATGGATAACCTGAAGAACATTAAGCTAAGAGAAATAAACCAGAAATAGAAAGAAAAATCTTTCATGTTTTTACACATGTGGAATCCAGTGTGTAAAACATAATGTAATGGTGGTTACTAAGAGCTGGGTGATAGTGGTCAGATGATACAACATTGCAGTTAAGTAGGATGAATAAATCTAGAAATCTAGATGACCATAGTTAATACTACTGGATTGGAAAATGGAAATTTGCTATGAGAACAGGTTCAGGAGCTTTATACACACACACACACAATGAATGGGGGTCAGAGGACATTTACAGAAGAGAAAGATAAACTAGAATGTTAATTACCTGGTCTGTAGAAATAATTTCCCTGTTTAACTTATATCAAGTCATCATGCTGTATAAACAGCTTAAATGCATACAACTCCTACTTTAAAGATAAGTCAAAATAAATTGCATCCTGTCATTTCATAGACGTATAACTTGGTAGTCACTTCACTCCTCTCAACTCAACTTACTCACTTGAAAACAGGGCTACTTTCACGGGGCTGTGAGGACTGACCTAATATGTGGGTTCTCAAGTTATGGTTCCGTGGAAGTTTGGAATTCTGGCTATAAATTCTAAAGTCTAAGATTACAGGAAAAGCAGGTGTGAGAAAGGAACTTCTTTCAAAGTGGGAAATGTTCTCAGAGTCAGGATAACGCCTAGTAGGGATTTCCTATCTTCTAACAGACACAGGGAGCAATCGCCAAAAATCTCAATTCTACTTTTTGTTTGCCCTGACTTTGTTCTCCTAAAGCCAGGGAACCCCGGAGGCCTCCTAGGCTGAGCAGGTAGGTCTTCCTGTTCTCCACTTGCCTGCAGTTCAGGCAGAAAACCGCCAACACACCTCCCTGTCGGCTACTAAATTGTGTGCTGGGCAGATTGTGGCCACAAGGTGGCAGCACTCTCCAGCCACCCCCGCACGTACACTTTTCCACCTTCAACCCCGCTCGCATTAGAGAGCAGAACTCCACAGCCTGGATTTCCCTTCCAGCTTTTCTTTCGGGCGGACCCCGTAGGGTTTCATTAAAAGCAGTTTGTCGAAGCTCCTGGGGCAGTGACGCCGAGCGCGAGGATTCTCGCGAGATCGCCGCCGGAAGTGGGTGGCAGAGCGGACGCAGCGACTCGGCTCCCCGGAAGGCGAGCGTCTCTCCCGAGCTGTTGCAGCTGCTGTCCCTGGGCGCTCGCCTCCGAGGAAGGGCTCTCCCTTTACTGCCTTTCCAGCCCCGAGCTCGAGCTTTCGGCCTCCCGATTGCACCTCTGCGCGGCCCGGCCTGAGGCGCCTCCGCAACCCCGGCCCCTCCCTCCGCGCTGCAGTTAAGCCGCGCCCTCAGGCCCTGTCCGCGGCTGCTCCGGCGGGTGATGCCAAATACAGCCATGAAGAAAAAGGTGCTGTTGATGGGGAAGAGCGGGTCGGGGAAGACCAGCATGAGGTCGATTATCTTTGCCAATTACATCGCTCGTGATACCCGACGCCTGGGTGCCACTATTGATGTGGAGCACTCCCACGTCCGATTTCTGGGCAACCTGGTGCTGAACCTGTGGGACTGTGGCGGTCAGGACACCTTCATGGAAAACTACTTCACTAGCCAGCGAGATAACATCTTCCGTAATGTCGAAGTCTTGATATATGTGTTTGATGTGGAGAGCCGCGAGCTGGAAAAGGACATGCATTATTACCAGTCGTGTCTGGAGGCCATCCTCCAGAACTCTCCCGATGCCAAAATCTTCTGCCTGGTGCACAAAATGGATCTGGTTCAGGAGGATCAGCGTGACCTGATTTTTAAAGAACGCGAGGAAGACCTGAGGCGTCTATCTCGCCCCCTGGAATGCGCCTGCTTTCGAACCTCCATCTGGGATGAAACGCTCTACAAAGCCTGGTCCAGTATTGTCTATCAGCTGATTCCTAATGTCCAGCAGCTGGAGATGAACCTGAGGAATTTTGCCCAGATTATCGAAGCCGATGAAGTTCTGCTGTTCGAGAGAGCTACGTTCTTGGTGATTTCCCATTACCAATGCAAAGAGCAGCGTGACGTCCACAGATTTGAGAAGATCAGCAACATTATTAAGCAGTTTAAGCTGAGCTGCAGTAAATTGGCCGCCTCTTTCCAGAGCATGGAAGTTAGGAATTCTAACTTCGCTGCTTTCATCGACATCTTCACATCAAACACGTATGTGATGGTAGTTATGTCGGATCCGTCCATCCCTTCTGCAGCTACTCTGATCAACATTCGCAATGCCAGGAAACACTTTGAGAAGCTGGAGAGAGTGGATGGCCCCAAGCACAGCCTCCTTATGCGCTGAATATTGCCAAATGTTCTTTGTGAAAATGCTGAATTGCTTTCCCCTTCCCCCACCCCTTTTCTTTACTATTCATAATGTTGTGTGCTTTGAAATGTGCCGCTTACCACTTCCATCTCTCTTCCCTTTTCCCCAATCTTTAAACCCTGAACGCTATTTACTCAGCTATACAGTAGAGCTTCAAAGATGGCCTTTCTGAAAAGGTGGTTTGGTGTTAACACTAAAGTAGGTGGGTGTATGTGTGGGTGTGTGTATTCTGATTACCTGGTTACCATAGATATACACATCAAAGCCTTTACGATATCCTCCTGTATTCCCTACAAGACTCTGAAGATGGAATGTTACTATTTTATCAGCAAGGTATTAAAATGCATTTATAGAATTCTTGGCTTCAATCATGAATAAACATTTACTGTTAGCAAGTTAATATATGGTCTCATTGGAAGTAATTTGAAAGTGGTTAATATGTAAATCCAAAGATCCTGACTGTCCACAGCTTAACCATGTCAATTTGATTCTGATTCCCTCACTGTCAGTGATGTTTCATAGCAACTGTTGCAGTGGTTAAGATAGGTTATGTAGCTGGAACACTTGCATTCTAGGCCCTTCCCTTACTAGCTGTGTGAACTGCTGCACCTCACTGTACTTGTTTTGTGTGTAAGACGTAGATAAGAATAATTCTACTTCATAGGGTTGTGGAAAGGATTAAAACAATTGGAAGACATTTAGAACATACCTGACATAGTACTCTGTATCCGTTATCATTACCACTTACTGAACCATTTTCCCCCACCTCCACTCCCTAATTACTGGATGTGAAGTATTTGAGCCCTTAATAAATCCTAGGTACTCGAAAGCACTTGATGTGCATTTTATTTAATCCTCAATGTAGATCAGTTACATACAACTTTAGTAGATGAGAAAGTTGATGACCATGTATCACATAGCTAAATGTAGGCAATCTGATTATAGATACACAACACCAGCCATTATATTGTATTACTTCTCCACACACAGAAAAGCTAATCATAAAACTTGTAAATGTTTAAGTCTAGATTATTCCTTCATACTATTCCCCTAATTTTACAGAAGGCCAAGAGGCTGACTTCTCATAAATGGTGTTTCTTACATTATATTTCCCCTCTGTATCAGGAAACTGGAAAATACTGAATCAAATTCTTAGATGACTTACCTCTGGGGAAGGATTCCAAGGTTTCCAATTGAAATGGTAATGTACTACATCAAAGAAAACATCCAAAATGTTTTAAATGAAATCTTAAAGTGTTTTAGAGCCAATAGACCTCAGATCAACGCCTCTTACCTCTCATCTTGCAAATGATAGGCTTTAGAATTTCCAAAGCTTTTTTTTTAAAAAAGATTCATTTATGCATATAAGAACTGAGGTATAGTACAGAATTGAAGGGGTGAGAGGATTCACTAAGACAGAGCAGGGAGCAGAACAGGCAGATTGACTGATATACCCCAACGGGTGCAGTAGACAGGTCAGGAGAGATTCCTGCCATGCCATGTGGGTCACCTCTCTGGCCGGGAATCAAACTCATGCTGCAGTAGCTGCGGATAGCTTCAGTGCTGCGCTTTAACCCACTGTGCCATCAGGGAGGGCCCCTAGAATTTCCAAAGCTTTATATTTAATATCTATGCAGATGAAAAGTTCCCACCCAAGAAAGGTAAAAAAAGCTATTCAGGTATGTTATTAAACTTAGCTAGGGCCTTTAGCAATTAGTGTAAACACTCCAGATAGAAAAACTGTTAAGTATTGATGTATTTTTTTAAATAATATTTGAAATACCACATTTAGTAACTAGTAATTAAAAAAAGGCAATAACAAAATACTCATCTGAATCACTAAACCTCTAATTTTTTTTGATCAAGATAATATACATTTATGATTTTACAGTTTGCAGAACATGGTTCTTTTTGTTATTACACAGGAAATTTCCAGAGTCAGATGATGCAATATTGTTTATTCAAAGCAATAATATGTACAACCTATTTACAAATTAGAAGATTCACAAATATTTTAAATTTAGAATATGGACTTGACATTCACAGTGCAAAAGGAGAAAAGTAGAGAAAGAGATGCAACTATCAAGAGACTTAACAGTCTTTAAGGAAAATAACATGTTTTCTTCAAGAGTAGAAAAAAGAGTTTCCTTTTATACAGGTACAGGTCTCAAAAATTTGTTTTTTCTTTAGATAAAAGTGATGCAATAAGTCATAGTAAAAAGTTTCAATATATTTGTATTTATATTTTCAGGTACATTCCCTTAAAATGACTTCTTTAACCTCAAGTATTCATTTATTCCATTTAAAATTAGCCATTTTGGCATTATTTAGGGTTTCAAGTACAGAACTCAGTTTATACACCATCATCTTAGTGACTGAGTAAGGCCCATTCTGTGTAATGTTACGAATTTTGTAGTGAGAAAACATCTACACAATAAAGTAGTCCTCTATAGTAGTACTTTAATTCCATTATATAGAAGGCAAACCATAACAATGCCAATTACCTCCTTATTTGCTAAAGATAATGATCCGTGCCATGGCCCTCGGAGTATACATGTAAGGACAAACTTATCTCACCCAGTTCTAGAGGCATGTATGTGTGTGTACAATTGGTGTAACTGGTTTACACACAACTTAAATAAAAGGATAAAGCAATACAGGAAAAATACTAAGTGCTGAATCACAGATTTTAGAATATGGAAGGATAAGTGAAGACTTCCAAGGTAGAAGTGGTAGTGGTCTGAGCCCTAAAGGACGTTTATAATTATAACCAGGAGATGAAGGGAAAGTATTTCAGCTTCAGAACTGCAACTTAAGATTTCTAAATATCTATGCTTACCAAAGTTTTTCAATAAAAAATGGGAGAATACAAAGACAGGAGCAATAGAGATATATATGTAGAGAGATTATACACATTTAATTTGAATTCTAAACTAGCAATGAACCACTAACGGTAATTTTAAGAAGTGAATTGATCCAAACAGTACCTAAGTTAAAAGGTGGCTATGCAGATGATGCATAGGGAAGAAACCAAAGGCAGTAAATTACAGTAACAACTGTCTAGGGGAAAGAAAGTTATTTTTATTTACACTAATGGCATACAAAGAGCAGGGAAGAATGCCACAAACATAGCTATCACAAGTATGATTCACTTAACAATATGGCTTTTATAACTCTATTGAGGTCCAAGGATATTTTGATCTTTTGAGTCTCGGGAATTAAGGGTCTCTCTGAGTTTCCTTATCAAATAGTTAACATCACTAAAATTAAATGCAATAGTATGCCTGCTTCTTTAAGGTATCCAAGGTTAAATATGAATCAATATCCCCTAGCAGTGATACTCAAAACTTTTTACTGAGCCTAAGATTTACCAAAGAAGTTTATTTTAAATGCAGATTCATAATCTCCATTTCAGAACCACAGAATCTACATTTTTAAAGAAAGCTTTGATTACATCTCAGACAAGTCATTTAAGCACCCTAGATTAATGACTATCTTACAGTTTTAATAATTAAATTATGTCATCTAGCAGTGACATCTAGAATCATCTAGCAGTGGCCCTGGCACTTTGCAAAGATTATGATAGCCTCACCTTCCTCCCTAACACGTTAACTTAGGTCTTCAGTTACTAGGTTTTCCTAAGGCAAATGTGAGAATAGTTTCCCAGTACCAGCAGAGTAACTCATTTTTTCACATTAATAAAGAAATTCATCTTAGGAGAAACTTTCTTTTCCACTGAAAGTCATAGTTACATGTGCTTTTTCTTTTGTCTTCTCACAGAAAGACTGACCTTCAAACTGGGACAGCGCAATTTAAAGAAAGATGAACTAAGATTAAGTACATACAGTTCTAGAACTTGACCTTCAATTTTCCTTCCCTCCTTGAGTTTCTTGGCAAAAGGACATAGAAGTAGGGGCTAGACAAAGGGATACTCCAGGTGCTGTGACCTTCCCAGTATTCTTCCTGGCTAACAGGAGGATGGCATGTGTTTCCTAGGAGGTATGTAACAAGTCCTTTTATCAACGACAGTGAGGCAGATACTGGAGAGGCCTCACAGCTGACTGAGTCCAAAAGATCCAATAAGCAGATCAACTCCAGCAGCCATATCCTATAAGTCCTGGTCTTTTAGTTACATCAAATAAGTCTTGTGGCATACTGAATGAAAACAGGGTCAAACCCTACCACCAATGACTTCACTGTGTGACATGAAGTCATTTAACTCCAACTCAGCTTACTCAAGCTATTTAAGTTATTTTTAGGAAATGGATAGTTTTTGAAGAAGGTAACAATCAAAAATTAGTTCCTTTCCCAAAAGCAACACCTATCCAACCCCCCCCAAAAAAACAATAAACATAAACTAATGTTTTAGTTTACACTTGTTCTGTTAAAATATAAAACTATGGTTAAATTCAATTCTCAAAGTCTAAATTAGACTAAAGATAAGATTCTATACAACCCACTGAATGGATTTATAGTTTGACATTGTTTCTAAAGTGTCTACTCATCTTCCATCTTTTTCCTTTCTCCTAAAATCATTATGCCCCAGTCTGCTCTTACCACCTGCACTTTATTCCATCAACCATCTCAGTAAAAACTTAACTGAATTAAAGACATTCCCAGTAATCTTGACTACATCCTAAGGAACTACTTTAGTTTTCTTGATTAGTATCACAATGTTCCATAAAGAAACAATAAAAGTTGTATATTTCCCTAAAATAAAAGATCAGTATATTCAAGTTATTATATAAATCTTTTAAAATACTCCTTTTGTTAATTAATTGTAAGTTAAACTATTACTTTGCCTTTGACGTAATGCTTACCAGATTATTCAAGAAACCAAAATAACTTCATATAACTTAACATTTACTTCCAAATAATTCATATTTCAACCCCATATTCATATAAAGCGAAGCAACCCAAACACACCATCCTTACCTTTAAACATTAGAGGTTAAAAGGCATTTAAGAATAGTTAAGCCTTCAAAAAGAGTTTCACTTCCAATGTATATGTAAATTATAAATCACTTTTTATCCTGTGACATTACTTCAATTTAAATGCATCATAGTTAATTAACTGGGATACTGCTTCATCTTATCAAATCAGATGGTAATTCTTTTGCATCAAGGCTTTTATTCAGGATTTCTTCTTCTGCAAAATTATTTTCAGAAAGAGAAAAGAATGAGCAAGCATTACAGGGAAAAAAAAAAAAGGACAGATGCCAAGCAGTAGCAAATTTCAATCTTAAATAAAAATCTCACATGCAAATATTTAATAAAGATAAAATGACCACCATTCTCACTTAAGAATTCTTTCTACCAAAAATACTAGTATGTCCCTTTGAGAATACCTTCAATATACCAGCGCTTATCATAGGTGAGTCAAGAGATATACAATGAAATCTGTATCACAAGATCTGTATCTGCTCCACCACACTTTAAGAGCAGTTTTTTAATTGCTCTTATGATGAAAATTTTCAAACACACACAAAAGTAAAAAGATTATGATTACCCAATGTGTCTATCATCCAGAGTCAGTAATTATTAATACTGTTAAGCACTGAGCTTAGTTCCCCTAAAATACAGGTTTAATTTCTAACTCCAAGACTTCAGAATGAGGCCTTATTTGGAAACAGGGTCATCCCAACATAATCAGTTGTATGGAGTCAATCTGGAGGAAGGTGGGCCCTTATCACAGGTATTTATATTTAAAATGTAAGAATATTTAAAATAGTGTTTCTCAATCATTTTAGAACCACCTCCCACTGTTTAAGCCAAGATCATTTGGATAAAATTTACCTTTAGTGGTTTTATATTACAAAAGCCAAAGATTGTAATTGTTTGGTTTTTGTTTCCTATCCCTGTTCCATACCAATTATAAACTATACATATATCATAAAGATTCTGAAAGTACTCATAAGGTGGCAGGGCCCACTCTATTCAACCTATTTGAAGGAATAAGGTATTGTCTCATTTACAAAAACTGTTAAATATTTAATGTTGCTTAGAATTAAATTCCAGTAATTACAAGAAAACTTTAACAGGTCAATAGGCACAGGGGAATTAAATCTTACCTTTTAGGGTCCTCCCTCATAACCTAGAGGTTAAGTCTCAGTGCAATCACCACCACTGCCAGAGTTCAATACCCATCCACAGAGTTAACCCATTATTTCTCCTGTCTCACCTGCTGCTCCCCTCAGCAGTGCATTTCAATAAATCCACCTGCTGTTTCTCCACTGTCTCTGTTGAATCCTCTTACACCCCACACCTCTGGCCTACACACCCCCATTCTTCTACTTTATATTTATTATAAAGTTATTCTTTATATTTATTATAAATAAGTAAAGCTTACCTTTCAAATTAGGTAGAAGTTCCCCAAGACTACTTGGTATTGTGGGCCTGAATCTTTGCTCCACTGGAGAAAACTTAATTAGTGGTGAAAGAGATCGTTTTCTTTCACCAAGGGACATTCGTACAGATGGTTTTGTATAGTCAGTATGCAAATCATGAGTGTCCAAAATGTCAAGCAAATCATCTGTTTGCGTGTTTTGAGAAGCAGGGCTCAATTCTAGTTTGTGTCTTTCAAGTGTTTCAGGACTAGAGAGGTAAGTTTCTTCCCTTTTTTCGAACATAGATTTTTTCAGAGCTTCATACCTACTGCAAATACTCTGTAAATTTAAGACTGATTCTGAAATAATTTCTTGGTCTCCTACAGCATTGTCTGGAAAAATGCCACTGGGCACAGGACTGTTTGATTCCAGTTTAAAATTGGCCTCTGTACTAGTGGAGCTATTAAGACTTAAGTGACCAAGTTCTTCTGGAAGAGTCTCATGTAATATGCCAAAATCATCATCCCTAAAAATCCTGGAATCAATTCCACTTGATATCTGAAAAGAGTTCCATAATGTAGTTTTATGTATGGAAGGTTCCTGAGGTTCCTGATAAGAAGTTTGCGAGCGATCCAGTATTTTAATATACGCCTCTTCATTGCTACCTATTACACCTATCTTACCGCCTACACTAGGAGAGAAGGTCTGTACTTGGCTAGATTCTAAAGACATGTTCTGTAAAGCAAGAGATTCTGAATCTTGCTTGCAAATTACTTTCTTATTTAACAAATCTGCCTCACTTTGTATAGGTTCACATATGTGACTGGTTACCATATTCTTCTGAGACACACTCTTGAGAGAATCTGGAACAACTTTCTCTTCAGGCAAGAGAGAGTGATTAGAATCTGATACAGAGGTTGCTGACAGAAAACTGGCCAGGCTAAATTCACTTTGATTATGCAATACAGGTAAGGACTCTGGCAATACTTCTCTATGTTCAGTATCCAGCTGAATTGGTTCTGTACTTCTGTTGTCTTCCATTTCAACAGCTTTTCTCCATGAGCTCCTAATTTCACTTACTAATCAAGGGGGGGGAAAACACAATTACAAAGTATTCCCAAACAGAAAATAGAATTAAACATTTCATTTCTGTGACAGAGACGCTATTAACTCATAATACATATGCACAGACATATCACTCAGATGACAAAACTCTACAATCTAGCAAAACCCAGCAACATCAAAGAACTCATCTCCAGCTGATCACACACATGGGTACAAATAAATGTTGGTCCTGAAATGAACAAATTTTACACAGCACAAATTACAAGTATTAAAAAGATATTTTCTTGCTCATCTAGTGTTTAGCAAACTTTTTCAATAAGGGGCTGAGTAGTAATACTTTGTTTTGCAGGCCACTCAGTCTGCAGCAACTACTCTGATACTACAGCATGACAGCAATCATAAATAACATGTTGGCAAATGAATAAAGGCTGTGTTCAATGCAAGTTTACTACAAAACCACATGGCATAGGACAGATCTGTTTGAGGCTATCGTTTGCTGGACAATGATCTAGGCTATGGAAAAGCTCAACCTGAACTAAATCAAATTAACTATATGTCTTAACTAGCACCAAAATGTAAACTATATTTATTCAACCAGGATGATGTGTCTACATATGGACAATAATTTTGAACTCTACCTACACAAATTATATATAAGAAAAAAGTATTTGGCAATTTGTCTAGCTTAGGAGTTTTTGACTGATGGATGCTTCTGATTGTTGACCAGGAGAATAAAAGCCTCTGTACTCTATAAATGCTGATGACAAGTCAGATTATAAATCAGCCAAATTTTAAGTACTAAAACAAATAATACCACTAAAGGACCACCAGATAAATGAGAGTGCCCACACTAATGCTTCAATAAAAGCCCCTCACATCAGGATAAATGAAGAACAACTGCCACTAGACTAAAATATGTAGAAAAAGTTTTAAAATGAGTTTCAAAAAAAATGTGTTAGATCATGGTTCTAACAGTGGCAAGGTCTAAGAAAGAAAATACTGCTAGAAAGCATCATTAGCTTACTCAATTTTTCTGGTGTTCGGGGAATTTGTTTCCTTGTTAAGAATGGATTAGAAGCTAGAGAGTCAATTAGGTCCTCTAATTTTACTTCTTTTCCTTCAGAGAGCTGTGGTGAATCAGATAAAACTGCCCTGGCAACCTAAAACAGAAAAGTAAAACAAACATTAGGAAGTCCACTGGTAGAATACAACAAAAACCTAGATATAAGCATTTCATAGTCAGTAGGCTTTCTGTGTTTCTATTAAAGTAAATTCAACAGTAGAGTTCCTAACATTACATGAAGACTATTTAGCATAATCCTACAAGGGTGAAATCAAGCATAAACGTGTTTCCTCCTTTCTAATGTTAAGTGAGTATCTTTTATAAAGAGAAAAAAGGTAATCCCTATTTGGAACATTTAAAAGCAGTTCTGACTGCACAGTGACTTAAATGGCTATATACCACATCTCTGAGCTTGAGGAACTCTATATTCATTAACATTAACATTAACAGAGATGGTTAGAAGCCCAAGATCATGAAAATGCATTTAGTCACTTTTGAAAGCAAAAGGACAAAACCTTCACTCCGATAATATATTACATAACCTTTGTTCTAATATTAAAGAGAGAAGCTCAGCTAAGCAAGAGTATTTTAATCAAGTATAATCATTAGATGTGTTTAACCAACAATTTACATAATGTTTAATTCCAAAAATAGTGTACTATTTTTGTATTTCAGGATGACATTTATAGAATAGGACATGGATTCTAACCATACACTGTATAATCCAACAATTTTATATTAATTTCTACATTTTGGCCAGACCACGAGTTTGCTTTACCCATGATTTTTACTATTTTATTATCTGTGACCTCCTTTCCCAAGTCATTCCCAGTTAACCAATAATTTACTGTAACTTCACTGAAATTAACAAACCATTGAGAAAATATATTTCAATACTCATTATAATCTTTTATTACCTCTTCTACCAGGTGATCTTGCTCTTTTTGGAATGGATCACTTTTCTTCGCTGCCAGAGGTCCTACAAATGCACTATTATCCATATTCTTGGTGATATTTGATGAAGCAGAGTCATTAACTTCAAATTTTGGTGTTTTCTTAGAAACTGTTTCACTTTTCTCTGTAGGGGTTCTCATCTCCATGTCCTGAAGAACACAGATATGTTTCATGTATATTAATAACTGTGGCTGATTTTCATTAGTTATCATGAGCCTATAAAAGTTAGTATTATAAAAAGTTAAAAATTAAATAAATCCACTATTACCATTTAAAAGCAACACAAAATATGTAACTAGAAATGGCACAGAATGTGCAAATAGTGGGAAATGTGAACGCAGAAATTAAATGTAATTACATTAGGATATCAACAAAAGTAAAGACTATTATATCCTAAGTTAGTATGGTTAGAGTTAATCAAATATTGTTTTAAAAAATACCTTTTCAAATACTGTAACACTATTTTCATCCAATGATGAAGTTGGCTGCAATGAAAAAGCAGGGCTAAAAGGAAAAAAAAGATAATATATCCAAGTTATAAGTATGAAATAGTTCCATTCACTTAATATATCTGAAAAGTTTAAAGAATATGTCTGCCCCGTATCTGTCCGTTACGATTTCACTCAATTCGTCCCGGTCATCAAAAGGCAGTTTCTTTCTAGGGAGGTATAGTGACAATTAGAGCAGTACTTCAGCCCAATTTGTGTATCAACCTCCCAAATATTTTCTTTGTCTATTTTAAGTCAAAAGCACTTTATACAAGGGTTACATGACTTAATGCACACTCAAACACTTGAGAATATGGCAAAAATTTCAATTAGCTAGAATTGCATTATTACAATGTCCTCATTTTTCACACTGAAGAGACTTATTGTAGCAATAACCATGTAAGATGCTTTTGTTAATGGCCAGAGTAAATTTCTTTAAGCTGATTTTTGCTCTTAACAATGAACAAGTTACTTAAAATAGTAAATTATTCACTTTCAGTTTTCTGCATTCTATATAGAGTATTTCTTAACCTCTCAGATTCTCTTGTATATAACCTCTCAGATTCTCTTGTATATATCTTTTCATACTTTTCTTTTCTTGTGCCTTATTAACATAAAAAATGTATATATCTTTTCATACTAATTACAAAATAAGCTGTTAAATGTCTAAAGCTATCAAGCAGTAATAACTATCTTCAACCACCTTGAAAATTTTCTAATTCAATCACTGAATATTCTGCTCAATGGCTGAACTATCCTACTTTAGGTAACAAGAGATAGGATTAACAGAAACCACTTACAACATTAAGCATGACAGCGCCTTGTTGTATGTTCACAGCCATACTACCAAAATTAACTATCCTGAAAACATTTTTTATATGATGCAAATACGCTTTCTTAAAACTGTCTCAAATATATCCTTATTGGAATTGTCATCTACCTTGCAACATAATTCAAAAATCAGTGAAATTGTTCAAGCATTCAACTTTACATCAATAGTACATAATCTAGATAATAAAAGGAAAACATGCATCTATTGTGATTTTAACTTATTGTTTCCAAATATTTTAAATTATCAAAAGACCCTCTAAAGTATGGTGAGCAATCAATGGTCCAATGTCACTAACATGCTCCACTAAATAGTTGAGTCCCTTAAAGACAATGTCAATGTCTCATAGCTATGCCTAGAGGTTAACAGAGTACCTGGTACTTAGTAGTGCAATACAAATTTGTAATGGACAGACTAACTGAATCAATGATAAATTGTCACTTGAAAGAAGTTGCAGTATCATCAAATTTTTGTTGAAAAAAAAGAGGAAAGGGTAGATATTCAAAACTTGCTACCTCATTTGTGAATTAGCCTCATGCTGTTGCCCAACTAACTTTTTTTAAAGATCTATTTGTATTTACTTATGCATACAAGAACTAGGATGCAGACGGGGGGGTTAAGAGGATTCAGAGACACAGGAGGCAGCAGAACAGGCAGATCCACTGAAATATACTCCTGAGGGGAGCGGTGGGTAGGTCAGGAAAGGTCTGCTGCTCCATGGGGGGTCCATTCCCTGGCCAGAGATCAAATTCAGACCACAGAGACTGGCAATATAGCTCGACAGCACTGAGACTTTAATCCCTGCAGCATCAGGGGTTTCAATCCAAGAAATGCTAAAGTAGTCCTGCCTTAGTCTTTACTTTTATCTACTTCCTATGCCAAAACAGATGTCGATGAAATACTAGCAATGTAGCTGATAAAAAAGAAAGGAGGCTGCGACCCTCCCTGGTGGCGTAGCAGGTCAAAGCACAGCATTAAGAAGCTAAAGCCACTTCTGCTTAAGTTAGATCCCTGCCCAGGAGGTGATCCACATGACGAGGTAGACCTCTCCTGACCTACCCACTGCTGCCCTCAGCAGTGTATTTGGTCGATCTGCCTGTTCTGCTCCCCACTACTTTCTCTGGTAAATCCTCTCACTGCCCCTGCACTTCTGGCTGTACCCCAGGTCTGTATGCATAAATAAATAAACCTTAAAAAAAAAAAAAAGGAAGAAAGGAGGCTGGTCCCATTGTGGGAATGAGCCTAAAGGAAAGAGCACTTCCAAAGGAAAAATGTTAACATACTTCTTAATAGTATGTTAACTTAATAGTAATAATTTAAAATAAATCTTAAAAGTCTAAAAAATAATAAACTGTTACAAAGTCTTTATACATATTATGCTATGTATGCAAATAGTAATATAATACTAAAGTAACCACACATATACACAAAAAGCTTCATTTATGCTTGTTAATGTTTTGAAAATATTGTTTTTTATAATGCAAAATTGTAGCCATGTTCTCACTAAAACTAAATTTATATATGACTGAAAATAAAGTCTAAAAGTGAAATTGGGAAAAAATATGACAAGTGACTTGTTATAAATTTATTACTTTTATTTACTACTGTTGGCTATATCTAAGAGCAATTATAAAAGATAAAATAAGAATTCAATTTCTAAGATTAAGGATATTTGGATGACATATAAGCAATGCCATATTATTCTATCTTTGAAATATAGTAAAGGAAAAACTTTAAAGGTTAAAGGTCTAAAAAACATCACCAGCACTAGAAATATGAAGACATCCATTCCAGAAACCATTACAAAGGAAAGGTAATGTTCACAGTGAACAAAAAAGGCATCATCAACAACAAACTTCTAGTTTTAAATATGGTAAAAGCTTCACCAGCTCACTATAATAAAAACCAGTCTTGAGATTTGTGTGTACTTGTTTATGACAACATGTGAAAGAATTAACATACTTATTCTAAAATCACATTCTTTCCATGTTTTTAATAGAAGCTGCAATGATCACATCCACATTAAGAAAATTCCCAATTAGGGCCCTCCCTGGTAGCACAATGGGTTAAAGCACAGTGCTATGAAGCTATGGCAGCCACTGCAGCATAAGTTCGATCCCCAGTCACAGTGGTGAGCCAGATGGTGCAGCAGACCTCTCCTGACCTGTCCGCCACCCACTGCTCGCTCAGCAGTATATTTCAGTCCATCTGCCTGTTCTGCTGCCCACTATCTCTGGTGAATCCTCTCACCACTAGCACCTTATGCATAAATAAAATCTTTAAAAATTTTTCCCAATTAACTACATTGATTCTCATGTAAAAGGGTGCCATTACAAATCAAATATTTGTACTACAATAACTGAACTACATCCCCAAGAAGGGTATTTAAGTAAGTAGTCACACATATTACACATTACTTGTGAAACATTTTATTACAAGATACCTTTTACAATAAAGAATTCTGAGCAACAAGTTATATCCACATCCCAGTAACTGACTCTTCACACGTATTTTGTTTTATCAAATTGTTCATTTTATCTATGGTTGACTGCTACTTAGTAATATTTAATTTCAATAAAAACTACTTAGTAGTATTTAATTTCAAAAATTTTTTTTGAAATTTAATTTCAAAAAAAATATAGGTAGATAGCATACATTAAAGGTTTTTGCTTATATAATCTGACATCAGGCTTTCAAAAGCCAAAACAGATTAAGAACAACAATCAATAAATAAAATAAAGGCATTTACAATAAATTAAGTAGGTTTTTTTTTTCACATGTGAAATTTCAGGATTAGATTGAATCAGGTCTTCCAAAATTTTTTTAAAGCATAAATGGAACTCTTCTTATCAAACAGAATATAAAACAACATATAAGAAGGATCTCCCAAGATAAAAGAGGAAGTATACAGGTTGAAGTAGGAAGAGTTGGACAAATTAGACTAAATTAAGCTCATTCACGGTGCCAGAGGGCACTGAAAAACACAGTCAAAATTACCACAGTAGGGCCCTGTCTGGTGGTACAAGGGGTTCAAGCACAGCACTATGAAGCTATCTGCAGGGATAGCTCCCTGTAGCAGGGAAGTGGCACACAAGGCATGCCAGAACTCTCCTGTCCTGCCTGCTGCTCCCCTCAGCGGTGTATTTCCTTCAACCCACCTATTCTTTTCCCCACTCTATCGCTAGTGAATCCTTCCATACCCACTAACCCCCATACCTCTCTCTGGTCTGTACTCCAACTCTTGTATGCCTAAATAAATAAATCTTTTAAAAAAAGGAAAGAAAGTTATCAAACTAAGTGATATCAAAAACCTTTAAACTCTTGGAGTGTATCAACAACCACAAAAGGTTTCAAGGAAGTTAACAGACATAAAAAAGCAAAAATTCCCATACCACATTAGATAATTTCCTAAATGCTTTTTACTTTAAAAATTAGATAATCCCTCTGCAACAACTTGGATGGAGCTGGAAAAGATCATGCTTAGTGAGATAAGCCAGAAAGAGAAAGAAAAATACCGGATGGTTTCACTCATAGCAGGAGTATAATGGACCAGGTGAGAAAATAACAAAAATAATGAACCACCATATACCAGAGACATTTTGAGGGGGTGGAGTGGGGAATGGGATCAAAAACGGGGGTGGGGGCGAATGCACGGGATTATGGTGATGGGAAATCCGCAGGGATTACAATCGAGATGGGAAAAAAAATGTACAAAATGATGTAAAAATAAACTTTTGTAATAAAAAAAACAGAAAAAAAAAAAAAGATAATCCGGCCCTCCCTGGTAGCGCAGCGGGTTAAAGCACAGCACTGAGAATCTAAAGCTGCTTCCGCATGAGTTCGATTCCCGCTTGCCCCGGAGGTGACCACATGGTGTGGCAGACCTCTCCTGACCCGCCTGCTGCTCCCCTCAACAGTGTACTTTGTCGATCTGCCTGTTCTGCTCCCCACTCTGTCTCTAGTGAACCCACTCGCCGCCCCTGAGCCTCTGGCTTGTACCCCAGTTCTGTATGCACAAATAAATAAATCTTAAAAAAAAAAAATTAGATAATCCCCATTAATCCCAACACCTAAAGAATGAATAAAAGGGAAAATAAAATGTTCATGCATCAAAAATGCTGAATTGTTCCTGGAAATGTGGACCCCATAGTAAAAAATACCATCAAAAAAAGAGAAAATTATGAACTGTCGCATAGTAGAGAAACAGAAATAGCAGAGAAGCTTGGAAGCTGGCTGAAGATAAATGAGGAAAAGATAAATAAAGTAAATGAGGGAAAAGAAATCAATATGAAAATCAAATCTGTTTTACCTGTTGACTAGATCATGTACAGTTTCCACTATATCACTGACTCTTCTGCAATCGTTTTCTTGGTTATGTTGCTTAGGTGTATCTAAAATAATGGAAAATTACTCTTTAATTATGACTATATATTCTAATATGCAGGGGTCCCTTAAATTCTATAAATATTTTTCAATAGAAGTATAAATATTAATAGGGAAAGAATAATATAGTGCTAAGTATAAAATGATAGGAGAGTGATAGAGAATATCTAGTACAATAATCCTCTTCCCTCCCCAAGTCCCATCAGTAGTTTAGTTTTCAGGTTTCAATTAGCCATGGTCAACTGCAGTCACAAAATAATGTTAGTAAGATATTTTAAGAGAGAACACATTCATATAACTTATCCACATAAAATAAGTTTATTTTAAAGCATAGTTACAATGCTCTATTTTATAACTAATTATTACTGTTACTCTTTTAAAAAGAAGTTATTTATTTATGCATACAGAACTGGGGTGCAGGCCAGAGGTGGAGGGGGCAGCGAGAGGATTCACCAGAGACAGAGTACGGAGTAGAACAAGTAGACTGACAAAGTACACTGCTAAGGGGAGCAGTGAGCATGTCAGGAGAGGTCTGCTATGCCATGTTGGTCACCTCCAGGGCTGGGGATTGAACTCACACTGAAGCAGTTGTGGGTGGCTTACAGTGCTGCACTTAAACCCGTTGCACCACCAGGGAGGGCCACATTATTGTATTGTACTTCATTTAAACTTTATCACATGTATATAAGTATATATGTATAGGATAAAGCATAATATAGGGTTGGGTATTCTCTGAGGTTTCAGGTATCCACTAGGGTCTTAGGCCACATCCTTCCATAGATAAGAGGGGAGGACTACTATAACAGGCTTCTATAAAGAGTGATAATCATATAAATCAAGTTTCAAAAAAAAAGTGATATTCCAGTTCTCAGAATTATGTAACCATGCTCCATGTTAAAGTATACAGATTATATAATTACTACATAAACCTCAAGACTAAAAAGTTACATCACTTAGCATGTTTCAGGCCATGACCTTCCCTAACTATGCATGTGTTTAAAGTGTTACTGTGTAAGAAACCAATGTACATACTTTAACAATCATAATAGAATGCCACCTAAAGCATTTTCAATACCCTATGCTTTTTATACACTAATTATGATGGAATTATTGATATGTATAAAGTACTTCAAAAATGAACACAAGTACAACTTACTATAACAAAAAACCAGTAGACAATCATAAACGAAAATGACTATGCAGTTACAGATACCATGTAGTGGCAGTAGGCAGGGTTGATGCATGTTTGTTCTGGCATATAAGGAAATTTATAAGGTAAAAGCTGCTAACTAAAAAGCACAGAGCTTTTCTAAAAAATTCATAAAGGTTACAGGAAGCTACTGATGTATATTTAAAACAGATGAAAAGAATCACAATTACATTACAAAATGATTAGTGGCAGCAATTTTTTTTTTTTATTAAAAAGTTAGTGGCAGCAATTTTTAATAGGGCCCCACAATTACAGGCAAGAAATGATGGAAACTATAGTACTGAAGATCTGAGACAAGCAAAAGGGAGACAGACACAATAAGGATATTTAGAAATAAACACAAAATCAAACTTACCACAACAAATCAAACGAAGCTGAAAGACACATTCCTACCACAAACACTAGAGCTGTTATGTTAAGAAAAGAATGTCCAAAAGAACAAGTAAAATCATCTGTGTCAGAAACAAAGATGAAAAGCATGAGCACAATGACAAGCTGAAACTGAGAAATGAATGCTAATAAGGCATCTCCCAAGGACAGAATGCTGGAGCTTTAAGGCCTACCATGTAATAATGTCACTCGGGCCTGGATATGAGACTGACAAAAAGTTGGGCCACTACAAAGGCTGCTCAAATCCTGAAAAGGAGACTATAAAAATCTTGCCAAACAAACCACAAGGCTTATGATCTAGGACGACTCCTGGGTGGAAAAAAGGATTTAAAACCTACTCTACTTAAAAAGAGTTGTGCATAAAAATGGAGCTTCATGCCCCACCCCATCCCCCTCACCCCCCGTGGCGCAGCGGGTTAAAGCGCAGTACCAAGAGGCTAAAGCCACTTCCTCAAGAGTTCGAGTCCCGCCTGCCCTGGAGGTGACCACATGGCGCGGCAGACCTCTCCTGACCCGCCCGCTGCTCCCCTCAGCAGTGTACTTTGTCGATCTGCCTGTTCTGCTCCCTACTCTGTCTCTGGTGAAGTCTGTCACCGCCCCTGAGCCTCTGGCCTATACCCTAGTTCTGTATGCACAAATAAATAAATCTTTAAAAAAAAAAATGGAGCTTCCATATGAACCAACAATCCCACTTCTAGCTATCTACCCAAAAGACACAAAAAGATACCTGCACCCCCATGTTTATTGCTGATTTATTTACAATTGGAAAGACATGGAAACAACCCAAATGCCCAAAAGTGGATTAAAAAGATGTGTACATATACACAATTGAATATTACTTAGCAACCAAAAAAATAAATAAATAAACACATGCCTTTTGCAGCAACATGGATGGAACTGGAAAAGATCATGCTGAGTGAAATAAGCCAGAAAGAAAAGGAAAAATACCGGATGGTTTCACTCATAGCAGGAGTATTATGGACCAGGCAAGAAAATAATAATAATGGACAGTTATATACCAGAGACATTTTATGGGGGTGGAGTGGGAGATGGGATTAAAAATGGTGGGGGGGAGAGAAATGCACTGGACTATGGTGATGGCACACGGGTGATGGAAAGCCACAGGGATTACAACTGAGATGGAAAAATACACAAATAATATAAAAATAAACTATTATATTATTAAAAAAATAAAAAGTTGTTGCAGGGCCCTCCCTGGTGGCGCAACTGTTAAAAGCACAGCACTCTGAAGCTATCCACACACAGCCACTGCAGCAAGAGTTCAATCCCCCACCAGGGAGGTGACACACATGTCACAGCAGACCTCCCTGACCCAGCCACTGCTCCCCTCAGCAGTACATTTCACGAGATCTGCCCGTCTGTTCCCTCTCATCCCCGCACCTCTGGGCTGTACCCCAGTTCCTATATGCATCAATAAATAATCTTAAGGAAAAAGAAAAAGTGCTGTGCAATCCAAACTTACACTGGTTATTTGTTGTAGGAATTTCAAATTAAAGACATTAACTGAGGAAAAACCTAGGGACTTAAGTCACTCTTTAGAGAACAAAACTATATGACTTTTTCAGGAGACCTACTAAAGTTAAAAAAAGTCAAAATTTTTAGTAAAAAGCATGAAAATCAGCAGGGCATACAGAAGCAAAAATATCTGGAAAAAACAGATTTTAGGGAAAAAAGTTTTAAATGATTAACAAAAAAAGAAACAATAGTTAACTACTGAGTTTTCATGAAAGTCATGCATGTTTTTTATGCAAAAATACATCAAGACTTTTCCAACAATCCAATATAGTAAAAGATGACACGCTGGAAAAAAGTAGGCAGTTTTAAAAAGGAAACAAAAGAGATATATATTCATGAAAAATACTAAATGAACAAATCAGAAAGGAAATTAAATATAACTAAAAAAATAACCAGTGACCCACAGATTCAAAAAAAATACTCAGAAAGCAGGCAGGAAGTACAAAAAATGTCACAAGTATGAATGCAAAAATTATGAAGACAGACAGAATTAGAAATTCAACAACAGGAGACGAAGGGCGAAGAATCAAAATTGTGACAGAGGGCCAATATTATAAGCAGTATTAGTATCAGGTTGTCAGTATTAGTGAAGAGTTTCCAAAACAGATAGAAGGCATCACATTACACATAAGTATACTCAGGTCCCAAGCAGGCTACACAAAAAGAAGTCTAAATTTAAGCACATCTAAATTAACCTGCATAACACAAAAATAATTTTTTTTAAAGATTCATTTATTTATGCTTACAAGAGCTAGGGTGCAGACCAGAGACACAGGGGGTAAGAAGACTGACCAGAAACAAAGTGGGTAGCAGAAGAGGCAACAGCGAATAAAGTCTGTTGTGCTATGTGCGTCACCTCCCTGGCCAAGAATAGAACTTGTGCTGCAGCAGCTACAGATTGCCACATATTGCTACAAGTGAACTCCTTGTGCCACCAGGGAGGCCCCACAAAAATAAGATCTTAAAAACAAAGAGAGATCAAAAATTACCTACAAATGAATGACAATCAGACCAACAGCAAATCCTTAGAAGGACAATAACAAAGAATAGAAGGCAA